ACAGATGGCTGGAGATGTTCTCCTGAGCTATGGATAGTAGTTTTCAAAAGGGGAAGCTGGCAAAATGCTGGGAGAAGAATGCAAGCTCTCTCCCCGCTGAGGGGTTTGGGAAGGGGATGTCTGAACGCCACTAGGATGGCTCAACACCCATGGGTCCATCAAGGGGAAGAGGCTGGGGCCGCAGTACAGGATGAGCTCCTTAAATGCTCGAGAGGGTCCGTGCTGTCACCCAGAGCACAAAGGCCTCGTGTGGCTCCACGTTCACATTTTTCACAAAGTTCAGCTTTGGGCATTCGCTGACGGGAGGAACACGGGTGCCAAGCACAAGGGCCGTGGCTGCCATAAGGAGCACGAGGGGCTGCTCTCAGGAGTGCGGATGGYGAGGATTTCCTCCGTGAGGCATGTGGGATGTCTGCAGACTTGGGGGCCATAACTGGGACAGCAAGAAGAGGGGCAAAGCAGCAGCCTGGGCAGGGAGACCTTTCCCCTGTTGCTGGTGGGCCTGCAGGAGGGACCTGCTGCCCATCTSCATGGTCCTGGATGCACCAAGTGAGGGTGGAAGAAGGTCCCGTCCTGCAGCTCCTTCCTCCACCCCCCAGCCTTCCTCCTCTTGCATGGAATGTGGCCAACCTGTGTACGCACAGGGAAGGTCGGATAAACCCAGAGGCAGGGCCTTCCTCTCCAAAAGAATTTTAACTGACAGAGTGATGTAGATGTCACTTTTTAAGGTAGCTATTCAGATGTGTCTTCGGCTATGGCCCTGAAATGGAAGCATTGCGAGCCCTACCGTGACATTCAATCTCTTTGCTACCCCTCCTGGTGTGACTTGGGAAGCGCAGGATGGCAGCACTTGGCGCTTGGGAAGCGCAGGATGGCAGCACTTGGGGCTCTGGGTGGCAGCTTTTTCTGTTCGGAGCTTTAGGGTGTTTCAGGGGTCATGGGCGCAGCTGCCCTGTGGGGAAGCAGACACATCTACACAGCAAGGGAGCTGCTCGCTGTCCTGCCACAGGGCTGGGCTCACCCCGAGGAAATTAAGGACYCCCCAGCAAAGCAGATCTCTGCTTCATGGACAGAACAATGATCCCAACTGTTGGTGCCCACAGACGCAGGGCCTGCAGAGCTGCCTGCCGCAGGGCTCAGCCCGTGCTCAGAGCCAGGCAGGTTTTTGCTCTGCTTCCAGCACTGACACCCTGCTGGGTCCTGGTCACAGCTTTGCATCGTTCTGTGACGTCTCCCAGCAGACATCAACCACTTTTCCAAGAGCGGAGACAAAATCTTCCGGGTGTTCAGCCAGCTTCTATGGAAGAAAGAAAAGAAGCATCTGAAAAGAAAAAGCAGCATCCAGGGACAGCGACCTCCAGTTTCTGACCATCCTGTKCTCCAAGGGAGTTATGCAACGGGATGTGACTTGTGGGGCGTGCAGCCAGCCAGAATTAAAAGCTTCTCAGTGGGGATAGCGGGGGGTTCAAGCGAGGCGCGTGCTGCCATTCCTGTCCCACCTCCGGGACAGCTCGTACCCGCAGCATTGCTGCCCTCTAGTGCTGCCTGAGTCCGCACCGGTGTCCGTCCCGGCCAGACCGGCGCTCTCGGCCATGGCCTGGGCTGGGGGCTCAGGCAGCAAGAACTGCCGCACTGCAGGGGTACGGCTGCTGGGAGGACGTGTTGGGGTATGGCCGCTAGGCCCGGGGCACGCGGTGCGCACCCAGCCCTGCCTGCTGCTCAGGAGCTCAGGGGTGTCGGAGGTGCCGCGCGCTGAGGCCGGAGAGGAGCCTCGGGGGCAAATCTCTGCACAAGCCACTRCTGCAGCTCCTCACCTTGCCATCACACCCGCTCCAGCTGCTCAGCCTGCCCCGCAGGGCGAGGAGAGCAACGGAGGCAGCGCCCCCTCCATCCCGCCACCCCCCATCCTGCCCGGTGCGGTGGCGGGGAAGGGAGTTTGGGCCCACGCGCAGGTACAGGCCCCATCCGTGCCGGCCCCTCCATGCAGAGGACCCCATGGAGCCCGAACTCGCGCTCCCTGCCCTTCCCGCACACAGCCCCTGCCCAAGGCCGGCCCGGGACGGGGAGCTCTAGGGCAGCGCTCCGAGGGCTGGGAGCAGTGCACGCCCGTGGGCGGGAGGCAGCTGCCCTATGTGTCTGTCAGGAGCGATGCTTCAAACACTCGAGTCCTCAGCTCCCCAGCTTTCGGGAAGCTGAGAGGAGAAAAGGCACCGGAGTGACCGGCTGGACCGCAAACCACAAACAAGCCTGGGGATAAAAAGACAGCATCCAGGTCCCTGGTCCTAACTCACCCTCTTCCATGGCACATATTTTCTGCCCACGCACGCCTTCCTTGAGCTGCGGCAGGTCTCATTTCACTGCTGTAATAAATGATGATTTATCGATGCTGTCGTGGCCCCTAGCAAGAGAGCGGAGCGCGCCGGGGGCCGGCCATGGAAGCAGGGATGGAAAGTTACCCACCATTTTTAAGGATATATTCTCCAGCTGTTGGAGAAAGCCCCTAGCTTGGGTTCTGTGGGAAAGAATCTCCTCCGTGTCCCCTGACTGGGCGCAACCCAGCAGGCAAGGAGAGGATGGGAGAGGGGCACTGCTGCCACTGGGAGGCTTTAAGAGCAGGTACAAGGCATCTGGACAGGTTGGAAGGATGGGCAGAGACCAAGTGCACGAGGTTCAGCAAGGCCGAGTCTTGCCCGTGCAGCTCTAGGGGCCCGAGCGAGCGGTGAAGGGACCAGCCCCAAGCTCGGCCTGCCGAGGCCGCCCCTCCAACACCSGGCTCCTCTGGGCCTGCTCAAGGCAAGAAGGACTCGGAGGCGCTGGAGCGGCTCCTAAGGAGGGCAGCGGAGCCGGTGCGGGGGCTGGAGCCCAGAGCTCGTGAGGAGCCGCTCAGGGAGCYGGGGTGTTTAGTGAGGAGAAGAGGAGCCTCCGGGGAGACCCCATCGCTCTCTGCAGCCACCCGAAAGGAGGTTGTTGGAGGCCGGGCTCGCTCTCTTCTCCTGGAGAACTACAGGTAGAACAGAGGARACRGCCTCAAGTTGCACAGGGGAGGTTCAGGTCAGACATCAGGAAGAATTTCTACATGGAAAGAGCGGTCAAGCACTGGAGGAGGCTGCGCAGGGGAGTGGTGGGGTCGCCCTCCCTGGTGGCGCTCAAGGCACATGCGGAGGAGGCGCTTAGGGACACGGTTTAGCGGGACGGTGTTGAGGGACTTAATGGTGGACTCGATGTTGAAGGTCTTTTCCAACTGTAACAATTCTGTGATTCCGTGTTTCTACAAAACATCCACAGTCAACAGTGCCCACAGTGGTGCAGCTGCGAATCACCGCCAGTGCTCTCGGGACGCCCTCGAGCCCGTCTGGCCCATAGGAGCCATGGGGCAGCAGGGCTGGCGGGTGCGGGGACCGAGGGGAGCGCAGGGCCCCGAGCGCGGGGAGGCGGCACCGGGAGGCGGCACCGGGACCGGGACCGGCCTCCGCCTCCCGCCCCCTCACGGAGCGCCCTGCCCCGCCCCGCCCCGCCCCGGCAGCCTCGGCTCCCACGAGCCCGGCGCCCACACTCAAGATGGCGCCAGCGGAGCGCGCCGCTGCTTCGGAGCTGCGCAGCGCGCCTGCGCACCGGAGCCGCCCGGCAAGGGGGCCGATAGGCGGGGATGCGCAGGAGGAGGGCGGGGCGCGGAGTCACG